CTCTTAACCGCTGGACCATCTCTCCAGCCCCTAATTTTTTATTTTATGTATTTTAAGTGTTTGCCTGCATGTAAGCACGCCATATAGATGCAATGCCTACAGAGGCCAGGAGATGGCGTCAGATCTCCTGGAACTGGAGTTAAGGATGGGGTATTAGCTGCCTTGTGAATGCTGGGAACTGAACTGAACCCGGGCCCTCAACAAAAACAGCAAATACTCTTAACTGCTGAACCATTTCTCCAGGCTCCAGATCTTTTCCTCCTAGGCACCCACCCTCCCTTTGGGAATGTTTATTCTGTGGGGTTTATTTTTATTTTATATCTATTTGTGTATATATATATATATGTATATATATATATATGTGTGTGTGTGTGTGTGTGTGTGTATTGCCTGCATATAGGTAAGTGCACCTGTGTCGTGCAATGCCCGTGGAGGACAGAAGAGGCTGTTGGATCCCCTGGAACTGGAGTTACAGACAGTAGGTGAGTGTGGGATTTGAACCTAGGTCTTCTACAAGAACAGGCAGTGTTATTAACCATTGAGCCATCTCTCCAGCCTCAGGGCTTTTCATTTTAAAATTTATTTTATACGTATGCGTGTTTTGCCTGCATGTAAGTGCACCATCTGCCATCTTCATGCAATGCCAGTGGAGATCAGAAGAGAAAGTTGGAACCCCTGGAACTGAAGGACAAGTGGGAACCGAACTCAGGTCCTCTGAAAAGAGCAACTAGTGCTCCTAACTTCCGAGCCATTTCTCCAGCCCCATAACTTGTTTTTGATTTAATGGGGGCTCACAGTTAAGATTACCTTGGATCTCAGATTAAATTCTGAATTTGCATTTTGCATTGAGATGAAAATGAGACTTTAGAATGCTGATTTAAAGTGATGTGGGTTGGTTGTCAAGTTGACAAGGGGTAGAATTATGATTAATCTTATCAACTTGACTGAATTTAGAATCACCATGGAAACTTATCTGGGCTTATGTATGAGCACATTTCCAGAAAGCTTTAACTCAGCAGGAAAGACCCACTCTGAATGTGTGACACAATCCCCTTGGTCGGGGCCATAGACTGAATCAAAGGAGGAAGCAAAAGTGAACCGAGCACCAGTTTTCAGTGTACACAATGTACCAGCTCCCTCCTATTCCTACCACCATGCCTTCCCTGTCATGGTAAACTGCAGTCTCTCAAATTGTAGGCTAAAAGAAATCCTTCTCTCATTTTTGTCAGGTATTTTGATGACAGCATTTAGAAAAGTAATCTACCAAGGATGACCTTGAACTACTGATCCTCCTCCCCCTACCTCCCAGTGCTGAGAATTATAGGCATGTACCACCATGCCCGACTTAAATTTTAGTATGGATTTTTTTAAAAATGGTCTAGTTTTATACTGGTTATTCAACCCAAGGCCTCATCTATTTAGGCAAGCACTCTACCACCTCCCTAACCCTGTTTACCCTGTTTAGGGTTCTTTCCATATTCCAAAATTTTTTTCAGTTAGCATATAAAATAATGGGTTTCACTATGGTATTTTCACCCATTTCCTTTGTGTTGATCCTCTCCTCTCCTATCCCCCCCCCCTAGATTTCCATATCCTCAGCCTCCCCAGTACTAGGACAGGCGAACAGCCTGGCTAGGGATCAAATTCTTTTTTATTTTAATATATATGAGTGTTATACTTGCAAGTATGTAAGTACACCGTACACCCATGTCCTACAGTGCCGGAAGAGGACAGAAGGTGTCAGATGCCCTGGAAATGGAGTTACAAACAGTTGTTAGCCGCCATGTGGGTGCTGGGATTAGAACCTGGGTCTTCTGCAAGAACAGCCAGTGCTCTTAACTGCTGAGCCATCTCTCCAGCCCAGGATCTAATTATCTTGAACAAGCTAGGATATCTATCCTCCTTTAATTTCCTATACCCTGTAACAGTAAATTAGTATAAGAATAATCTATTCTTTGAGATTTGGACAAATGCATACTGAGTTTCTCAAGATTTTTACAAAAGTTAATTTTTTTGGGGGGAGGGGGTCTTTTTTGACATAGGTCTCCTTGTAGCCCCAGCTGTCCTGGAACTCACTATGTAGACCAAGCCGGCCTCAAACTCACAAAGATCCGCCTGCAAGGCGTGCGCCACCACGCCCGGCCAAATAAACCTGTCTCATAAGTACCTTAAAAAAAAAAAAAAAAAAAAAGACAGGGTTTCCAGGTGTGGTAGTACACACCTTTAGTCCTAGCACTCAGGAAGCAGAGGCAGGCAGATCTCTGTGAGAGGCCAGCCTGAGCCTGCTCTACATAGAGTTCCAGGCCAGCTTGGGACTACAGGAAGATCTTGTCTCAAAAAGACCAAAAAGACAGGGTTTCACTTTAAAAGTATAGCTCAGGGTGGCCTTGAACTCAGTCCTCTTGCCTCAAGAGGACTAAGTGCTTGTGCCACCATGCCTGGCTACACAGCAACCTTAAGGATACGTGCTTTTTCTTTAGAAAAAAAATCCTCCAAAGTACTCATTTCATGAAAAGCATCACCAAAAGAAGTTTGGGGCTGGACAGGCGGCTGTGTTAAGGGCATGGACTGCTCTTCCAGAGGACCTGAACGTCCACATGGCAGCTAACAACCATCAGTAACTCCAGTTTCAGGGGATTCAACACCCTTTTTGGGCCTCCGCAGGTACTGCACGCATGTGGTGCAATTACATACATTCAGGCAAAACACCTGTACACATTAAATAAAAATTTTTCTAAAAAGAAATGAGATTTTAAAGTTTTATGAATCCACTTATTTGCATTTAATAGTTCTATTTCTCTGCAAAACTTAGCACACACCCATCATCTCTGGAGGTTACATACAGCATAAAAATAGAGAGCTTTCAGGTTATCATATTCATACACCTTATTTTTTAAAATTTCTATTTTATGTGTAAGAGTGCTTTGCCTGCACGGAAGTGCACCTGTATCATGCAATACCTGAGGAGTCCAGAAGAGGGCACTAGAAGCCCTGGAACTGGCGTTTTCAATGCCATGTGGGTACTGGGAATGCCATGTGGGTCCTCTAGAAGAGCCATTTCTCCCGCTCCGCCTCTTATTTTTCTTAAATTGATGTTATATATGATCAGTTGTATACCATTCTCTTACAAAACGTAAGTGCTTATTTTTCTTAAATTGATGTTATATATGATCAGTTGTATACCATTCTCTTACAAAACGTAAGTGCTACAGTGTTGCTAAGAGACTGCAATGGGCACAATAGAGAAGCAGGGAAGAGACAGGCTATTCCAGGCCACTGGTGGCTTTGACAAGAGTGGCAACAATGGAGGCAATGAGACTGACTGTATTTGAAAATACAGTGACAGGAGGCCTGGCATGGTGGCACATACCTGAAATCAGGAGGCAGGAAGATTTTTCCAAGTTTGAGACCAGCCTGGCCTACATATTAAGACCCTGTCTTAAAAAACAGTAAAACTGATGTTGGCTGCATAAAGCCAAGAGGATTTACATATGCAATTTACCTTCATCAGCTGCATCAACTAACAGGCAGATTCTCAATCAGGTGCATCTTTTGCTGATAATCAGTACACTGACTTGAGGTTACTTTTAGGAGATAAAAGTACATTGCTTTCATAACTGTATACCCATTACATGAAGCACAGTGCTTTACAAAGTTGTTGAAATTCATGTGGATGCTTGAAATTAATTATAAGAGATTATGGTTTCAGTTCTGACATAAGATTATTTACAATAAATCAGTCAATAAGCCAGAAGTTTTGGGTCTTCTACCAGAATCTCTAATAGAAAGTATTTACAAAACACATGGGAATATAGATATATGATATATAATTAACACTTGATTTAGAAGCTTGTTTTATTTAAATGTGTTCTAAATGTCACAATACAACCCTTCAGAGTCAGTAAGTACATGTCAATATGATTCCTCAAAACTTTTAAACCTAAAGACCCATAGCCACAGCTGCTAAATTCCCGTTGAAGGCAGCTTCAACACCCCCAAAGAGCACAATATAGTAACAACTGTGGCAAAAATCCCATTTCTATGCAAATTAAAAGCAAACATTATCAGACTACCTAAATTCAGTATGCAACATTATTTAATACGTCTATTTCTCAAGTCTCTAAACAAACTTGTTTCTCAACACTGGGAAGTTTTACAAAAAAGTATCAATCCAAAGTAACTCAAAAGAAACTAAGATGGTCTTTGCATAACAATAAAAAGTACCATTTGTCAAGAATAACATAGCCCCTAACAATTAAATAGAAATTTAAAAGCACAGCACAGAAAAAGTGCAGGGAGAGGAAGAATTAGATTTAGAAACCAAAAGGACTCACACTCTTTGGTTCTGAGCATCTTTTACCTCTGGCAAGGTCCAAAGAGTATTAATTCTACAATCTACACCATAATTCTATTAAGAAAAACCAGGGCTAGGGGTAGAGTCAGTGGTAGACTGCTTGCCTAGCATGCAAGATTTGGGTTCCATCCCTAGTTTCACTGAAACAAAAACTCCAGAAGATAAAACCTGGAGAGAACTTTTAAAATTATCTTTAATCAACTATTATAATATTATTTGCCAGAAGGGGAAAACTGAAATTGTAGGCATAAAGTAATGAAGAAATAGTCTCAGGCACCAGAAGAAGGTGAGAACTTCTGGCTGACTTCCTATGTTCCTGTCCAGGCAAAGAATAAGAGGAACACTGGGTGTGGTGGTGCCTGCCTTTAATCCCAGGCCTTGGGAGGCAGAGGCAGGCAGATCTCTGGGAGATGGAGCCCAGCCTGGTCCACATAGTGACTTCCAGGCATGCAGGGACTAGAGAGGCCTTGCCAAAGAACAAAACAAAACAACAAAAGAATAAGAGGAAAGTTCCATCTATGAGAATGTGCACTCGTACTCTAAGAGCCATAATCACCTGAACTCATTAGTTTTCTTTTTCCTTAAAATTTCAAACATAACATAATACACAATATGGAGGTCAAATAAAGAGGACCTGGTCTTCAAGCACAGTCTATCTTTCAGTTTTTACTGATACAACTGTCCTTTGGCATGGAGCTACTCACAGAACAATTATGAAAAAGACAAATTTTATTTTAGACGGTTAATGATATGTGCTGTACTATAGCAAAGACTGGTTATAGAAAATTTTCACTTCAAATCTTCACTGATGGATAAATTAGACTTTATTCTGGAATGTTTAACTTCTGCTAAAATGTATTTAACCCAATAGTATACCATGTTTTACATCTATTTGTAGTCCCTATATTAGAAGCAGAGGTTAATCCCAGGACTTGGGAGGCAGAGGCAGGCGGATCTCTGTGTTCAAGGCCAGCCTGATCTACATAGTGAATTCCAGGACAGCTGGGGCTACTGGGAAAACCTGTCTCAAAAAGACCAAAAAAAAGAGAGAGAATAACCTTATAGCTACCCAAAATCACGGGCTGTGAACTTAATTCCATAGTACTGTTTTAAAAATATACCCCTAGGTTAAAAGAAATTCCATGCAAATGCACAACCAAAGAACTTGGAGTCTTCAGTCATCATCTACAGTTGGCTTGATGGTCACTCCTCTTCTTATCTGACCCCAACCAATTAAACTGCAAAATGAAAACAGAAGTCAAGAGTGTTACACCATTTCACTGGCATCGCCCCACAACCACATGACAGAACTGGTTTTATCTGCCCATGGTCTATAAATTCACATTTATTCCCAAAGCCTATTCCTCCATAAAGAAAGCTCACACTATTTCCTCAAGATTCCAAAACCCAGATAGGACACTGGACAACATGGCAGGAAAATCAGACAAAATTTGTCACCATGAATATACTCGCAAGTAGGGTCTACTGGAAGTGTTCGAACACTTGGAAGATGGAAGCAGAAGGATGAAAAGTTCAAATCCACCCTTGGCTGCAAGAGACCTTGTCTTAAACCCCGGGCTAGAGACATGGCTCAGCAGTTAAGAGCACTGGCTGTTCTTGCAGAGGACCCAGGTTTGGTTTCCAGCACCCACATCCTCTTTTGGCCCCCATAGGCACTGTATACACATGGCGCACTTACATACATGCAGGCAAAACATCCACATTAAAAAAAATATATATGTAATATATATATATATAAACAAAACACCCCCTATCCTAGAAAGAAGACATTTGTCTTCACTCTATCAAAATATATCTACTTGTTCAGAGCCATCTAAGAGGCCTTCAGTCCACCCCAGGAACTATATCTCCAATATACAAACCATATCAATTTTTTCTTTTTCTTTTTTTTTTTTTTTTCTGAGATAGTTTTTCCCCATAGCCTCAGCTGGCCTGGAACTCATTATGTACACGAGGCTAGTCTCAATCTCAGAGATCTGCCTGCCTCTGCTTCCTGATTGCTGGGATTAAAAGTCCATGCCACCACACCTGACATCGGGTTTTTTAAAAATTAAAAAAAATATTTCTTTATGTGCATGAGTGTATTGCCTACATGTATGTAACTGCACTTATGTTGTACAGTGCCCACAGAGGTCAAAAGAGGGTGTTGGATCCTCTGGAACTGGAGTTACTGATGGTTGTTAACCGGTATGTGGGTGCTGGGAACCAAACCTGGGTCCTCTGCAAGAGCAGTCAGTGCTCTTAACCACTGAGCCATCTCTCCAGCCCAATATCAGATTTTTAAAAATTTATTAAATTTTTGTGTATTTCATATAGAAAACCATCTTTATGCCCCCTTTCCCATTTGGCACCCTCCCATAACACCCCCCCACACACACACTGGAGTCCATACACTCTATCATTTGTATCCAGTCCTATCATGTAAAGTTAGTGTCTCAAGACGTCCCTTAGTGCAAGTTCATCCATGGGGGTCCAGTCAGCCCATCTAGAGTCTCTCCCTTCAAGATCAACAATCAGCCACCAATAATTCCTCGACCAAGACTAAGACCTGTTGTCTACTTCCACAGTTCTGTGATGGGTTTTGTCTGCCTAAGTTTGCATGGGTCCTGTGCATGCTGACACCATTGCTGCAAAGGACTATTTCTGTATAACATCAGATATTTGTAAAAGCCTCATTTTCCATGCTTCTCTTTGGAAAGTGCTTTCCCGTTACTCTCAGCACCTTAGCAGATCACAATGCCTTTAAAATGACACCAGATGGCAGAAGAGAACTAAGAGCCCATAGGCAGATTGTTCTGGACAGCAAAGGGCTTTTGTTTCCTTTTGATGCATGCTCTAGCCAACGACCAGGCTGGATACTGCTACATCTGTAACATCTCTACCTAACCCTACCTAAACATGGGTAAAAACTAGAATTGAAAAAACTCTAAGGATTTTGAAGCAAAGTCTGAAATTCTATTTGTATAGAATCCTTTCACATTAGTACGCTGAACCTTTAAAAAAAATCTGTTCTAGGCTAGGTGTGGTGGGGCACACCTTTAATCTCAGTACTTGGGAGGCAAAGGACCTCTGAGATAGATGCCAGCCTGGTCTCCATAGTGAGTTCCAGGCCAGCTTTTGCTACAGGGACACACACACACACACACACACACACACACACACACATATCTTTTGGGGGGTGGGAGGCTGGAGAGATGGCTCAGCAATTAGAAATGCATACTGCTCTTGTACTTCAATTCCCAACACCCATGTCAAATGGGTCACAACTACCTTTAACTCTAGCTCCTAGAGATTAGACACCCTCTTCCAGTCTGTGCATACACAAAGCATACACATACAAATGCATAAGTAAAAAAAAATAAAACAAAATTTGGGCAAGGCATGGTGTTGTACTCCTTTAATCCTAGCACCTGAGATGCAGAAGCAGGGAGAGCTCTGTGAATCTGAGGTCAGCCTGCTCTACATAGTGAGTTCCAGGCCAGCCAGGGCTACATAGTGAGACCCTATCTCAAAAGTAAAAGTAAAAAAATCTCTTCTAGCCAGGCGTGGTGGCACACACCTTTAATCCCAGCACTCGGGAGGCAGAGGCAGGAGGATCTCTGTGAGTTCAAGGCCAGCCTGGTCCACATAGTGAATTCCAGGACATCTGGAGCTACAGGGAAACCCTGTCTCAAAAAGACCAAAAAAAAAAAAATCTCTTCTAGGGTCAGTGAGATGGCTTAAAGAGTGGGGGTGCTTGCTGTAAAAGCCTGATGAACTGATATTAATCCCTGGAACCTATAGCGAAAGAGAGAACCAATTCCCAAAAGTTGTCTTCTAACCTTCACATGAGTACCTTGGTATGCACAAACCCACAATAATAAACTAAAAAACAAAATCTGTTCTAATTTATGAATTATACTACTCAAAGCTAGTAATAAAATGTCTGTTAGGAGTTTGTGAAAATTTAATATTTAAACTTATGTTAAAATTCACAGATTCACAGTATGTCTATGCCAACAAACAGCATAATTACACAAGAATAGAACTGATGGGTTGGTGAGGTGGCTCAGTGGGTAAAAGCTCTTACCAAGGCTGAAGACCTGAGTTCAAATCCCAGGAATCACATGGAAGGAGAGAACAGACTCCCCCAAGTTGTCCTCTGACCTCCATATGCATGCCATGGCACTTGTGCATCCGCATATACACATATACAAATATTTATTTGTATTAAATTAAAAAAATTTTTTTTAATTAAAAAAAAATCAAAAAATTCTGTGGCCTGGCGTGGTGGCACATGCCTTTAATCCCAGGACTTGGGAGGCAGAGGCAGGCGGAGGTTTGTGAGTTTGAGGCCAGCCTGGTCAACATAGTGAATTCCAGGACAGCTGGGGCTACAAGGAGACCCTGTCTCAAAAAAAGACAAAAAATAAATAAATTTTAAAAAATTATGTGAAGAAAAAAACGAGGGGCTGGAGAGATGGCTCAGTCAGTGGCTAAGAGCACTGGCTGCTCTTGCAGAGGACCCAGGTTCAGCTCTCAACACCCACGTGGTGGCTAGCAACCATCCTAACTCCAGTTCCAGGGGATCCGAGGACCTCTTCTGGCCTCCATGGGCAATACATGCACATAGTGCACTTACATCCTTGCAGGCAAAACACTTATACATATAAATTTAAAAAAATTAGCCCAGTACTCAGGAGGCAGAAGCAGGAACAGCTCTGAGATGAAGGCCAGCCTGGTTTACATAGTGAGTTCCAGGCCAGCTGGGGCTACAGGGAGACCCTGTTTCAAAAACAAAGAAACCACCAAAAAAATTTTAAGAATAGGCAGAAATTGCCACAAAGCAGAATTAATGTTATTATTTTTCTGAGACAGGGTCTCAAGTACCCCAGGCTGGCCTTGAACTTCAGATTCTGCTGCCCTGACATCCCAAGTGCTAGAATTATAGGCTTGCACCATCAAGCCCAACTACCACAAAGCATAATCATTTATTTAAAAGACAATAAAAGGGCTAGAAAGATGGCTCAGCAATTAAGAGCACTTGCTGCTCTTGCAGAAGACTCAGGGTCAGTTCCCAGTATCCACATGGCAGCTAACAACTGGTTGTTACCTCCAGTTCCAGAGGATTTGTTGCCATCTTCTGGCCTCTACCAGCACTGCATGCATGTGGTGCATTTAAATACATGCACACAAAACACTCATTCACACAAAGTAATTTTTGGGGGCAGGAGGGATCTCTTTGAGACAGGGTCGCCCTGTAGCCCTAGCTGGCCTGGAACTCACTATGTAGATCAGGCTGGCCTTGAACTCACAGAGATCCACATGCCTCTGCCTCCCAAGTGCTAGGATTAAAGGCATGTTACCACTCCTGGCTCACAGTAATTTTTAAAGTATGAAATGATAGTGGTAATAGATTGCTGTTTCAAGAAATGAAAAGGATAGACTCAATAATTAACTTAGGAAAGAGCAAAGAGTCAGTAATCCAAGATAAATGTGTTTCTTAGCTAGCACACAGACCTTTCTTTCTAAATATAATTTTGTACTACTAGGAACCAGGACTCCTAAGAGAAATGGCCAATTCTAAAACTGAAGCAGGGAAGGTAAAAGACAAGTCTGGAACATCTCATGCCAAAGGATGTAAAAACAAATAACCAAAAGGACATAGGAACCAGTTTGAATGGTTCCCATTGGCCAAATCTTGGACAATTTATTTATCAAAATAGACAGTAACAGATCATAGTTTACTGAATAAAACCGAACTTCATGGATCACTACTATAAAAGTAGGCAATTAAATAATGAAGTAGAAAGAATGTCAAATAAATGTGGATCAACAGAATTGTCAGGGGGAGGGTACTGGTAGGTACAAGCACCATTTTTTTTTCATTTTATGTGTGTATTTTGCCTGCATTTAAGTAGAGCCAGAAGAGGGCATCGGATACCCTGGAACTGGAGTTAGGATGGTTATTAGCCATCATATGTGTGCTGGGAACTGAACCCAGGTCCTCTGCAAGAGCAGCCAGGGCTCTTAACCACTGAGCCATCTCTCCAGCCTCCCACAATCACGATTTTTCAATATAATCAGGTTCAATTCAGGCATGAATCAACAGGGACTGTGAAATCCAGAAGGAGGTGGGATTTGATTAACAGCAGGCTATGTGCAGAAACTAAAGGGTCTCCCTACTCCTTTTCTTTTTCTCTTTTGGCTTTGTTTTGTTTTGTTTTGTTTTGTTTGGGGGGGGGGACGGGACAGAGTCTCCCTATCGCCCCAGCTGGCCTGGCACTTGCTATGTAGCCCAGGCTGGCTTTGATCTCATAGAGATCTGCCTGCCTCTGCCTTCGTAGTGCTGGGATTAAAGGGGTTTGCCACCATACGCAACTTCTTTTTGGCTTGAGATACGGTCTCCTTTAGCTCAGGCTGGGCTCAAACCTGCTATGGAACTGAAGATGACCTTGGACTCCCAATCTTCCTGCTGCCACATCCCAAGTGTAGAGATTACAGGTGCCACCACATCTGTTTCTTAGACTTCTAACTACCCAGGTAATCAGAGTAACTACAGAGTAGAGAAATTGGACAGCAACTTCACCACAGCAATATAGTTAACTTGAACAGAGTGGTCAGTTATATGTCCCCAGTATCTATATAAGAATTCAAAACCAGCATGGTGACCTACACCTTTAATCTTCAGCAAGCAGATCTCTGTGACTTTGAGGCTGGCCTAGTCTACAAAGCCAAGTTCCAAGCCAGTCAGGGCTACAGAGTGAGACCTTGACTCAAAAAGAAAAAAATAAATAAAAATAAATAAAACAAAAAGCCAGACATGGTGGAAAACACTGCTAATCCCAACACTTGGAGGTAAGAGAGGCAGGCAGATCTCTGAGAAATTAAGGCCAGTCTGGTCTACATAGGAAGTGCCAGGCCAGCTGTGGCTACAGGAAGACCCTGTCTCAAAAAGGCAAAATAAATAAAAATAAGCACACAGACCAAAAAAAAAATCCACTCAAGAATATATAACCTAAATCAAATCTTAAATTTCCAAACCATGAGATAAACCCAAATTTAGGAGCAGTAATCACTCACTATAGTCTTCAAATCTGTCATTGTCAAGTAAAGGACAAAGAAAGGCTGAGGAAGTTCTAGATAAGAGATCAGATATGAAGCCTAAATGTGATTACAATTCTACATTAGAGAGCATTATTGGATCAAGTGACAAAATTGGATTCCAGACTATAGACTTCACTATTTTATCAATGGTAAGTGCTCTCTTGCTCCCTCTTTTTCCTATCATTTAAAAAAAATTGTATCTATTTATTTATTTACTGTATGTGTGTGCAGGCCGGGGTGTACATGTAGAAGCCAAAGGACAACTTTTGAGAGTTAGTTCTCTCCTCCTATCATGTGGGTCCTGGAGACCAAACTCAGGTTGCCAGGTTTACCAGCAAATGTCTTAACCTGCTGAGCCATCTTGCTGGACCCCATCATTTTTTTTTTTTCATAACAAGCTCTCATGTGGTAGTGCAGGCCAGCCTGAATCTCACTTGGGTGTTTATTATTTGTTGTTTTTTGAAATATATGCTGAATTAGTAAGAAATCAACAAGTCCAATATATACAACCTACCACCACTCACATAATCCAGAAAAGGTTTATATATGTAAATAAGCATGAGTGCGTGAGTGTGCCTTCCCAGAAAGGAGTATCTAGTAGTTTTCTGTACAGTTCTTTCAATGTTTCTGATAAGTAAAAAATTAACTACAAATAAAAGTTTAAAGTCTCAGGCCTGTACCCTCACATATATATACAAAAATAATGTTAAAAAAGGGTTAAAAGTCAAGGACAGACTAGGGATATAGCTTAGTGGTACTGTATAAGGCCTATGGTCTAATCCCAGCACCAAGAAAAAGTCAGATTGGAGTGGCAAGATGGCTCAGTGGATAAGAGTGCTTGCCAAGTTATATGACCTGAGTTTGATACCTGGAACCCACATGGTGTAGAGAACCAGTTCACACAAGTTGTCCTCTAACCCCCACACATGCTGTGACTTGTGAACGAACACATACACACACACACAGTCAATCTAAACCCAGTGTTTTTGGCAAAGATTATGTCTAAACAAAAGGGAAGTCAAACTGTAGTATTTGGACTAATATAAAGTACTGCAAATCAAGGCTAGAAATACAGCTTTCAAAGCTAACCAAATAACTGGGCATGGTGGCACATGCCTTTAATCCCAGCACTCAGGAGGCAGAGACAAGCAGATTTTTCTATGAGTTCCTGGCAAGCCTGGTCCACATACTAAGACCTTGTCTCAAAAAAAAAAAAAAAGGTCAACCAAATAAATAGGTGAAAAGTTAAAGCCACACTAACTGCTGTGTTAAAAAAGAGAGCGTGCCCATGTATATACCACTGAGACTTAAACTTACCGCCAGTGTTTTTCAACTCTTCGGCTAAGAGCAATTTTTTCTCCTACTTCTGTGCACACAGGATTAGTCAAAACGATCTTGCCGAGATCAGCTTTGACAGCACTAACTCTTCCTCCTGTTGACAGGGATCCTATATTGACCATGAGCACTTCATTCTTAGATAGCTTTTGGACCTAGGCAAATAAATTAGGGGGAACACAAACAATAAGATAAAACACTTTCCTAAAACGAGTGGGGATTTCCCAAATACTTATGAAAATAAGCCAATCATTAAGAAAAAAAATCCAATAGAAAATTTATTTGGCATCTGACTTTATACCAAATTTACCTTTAAAAACAAGCTAGTGCCAGATGTGGTGATGGACACTGATAATCCCAGCACTTGGAAGGTAGAGGCAGGAGGAGGATCAGCAGTTTGAGGCCAGCCTGAGTTATACAGTTACCCAGATTTTGGAATATTTACACATACATGTGATTCCTGGGAATGGGATTCAGGTCTGTTAGGCAATTTTTATTTTATCTTTTTGTGACTAGGTATCACTATATAGCCCAGCCTGGCTTTAAAGTCATAATCCTCCTGCCTTGCCTTACCAAGCATTAGGAAGACAGGTGTGTACCACTGTGCCCAATCTTACTTATGGTTTTATATACAATTTACAAAAAGCCTGAAAGTAATTTTACATATTTTGACTGCATCCAAGTTTTGACTGTGACTTACCACATGAGGTAAGGTGTGGAATTTTCTACTTGGGGTACCAAGTCATGGATCAACTATTTATCGGAAAGCAATACCAACTTAGACTTTCTCAAAAAGAATTGACTATTTTCTGCATAGGTTAACATTAGATATCAGCACGTTTTCCCATCTTTGCGAACATATTTTACTAAAACACCCAAAATAAACTTATACTACCATTAGGAATTTGTGCTATAGGACACAAATGCATTTCTCAATGTTTTCCCCACCCTATTGTTTCTATTTCAGTGGGGATTTGTTGTGGTTGTTTTTATCTGAAATTGAATGCCATACAGTTGTTCTTTTTGAGACAGGATCTTCCTGTAGCCCCAGCTGGCCTGGAACTGGATATTGATACCAGGCTGGCCTGGAACTCACAGAGATCCACCAGCCTCTGCTAGGATTAAAGGCTGGGAAATCAAATTACTCTAGTTCCATATTAATAATAAAGATCTAGGCCAGTCTGGTCTACACAGTGAGCTCCAGGCCAGCTGGGTCTAGAGGGAGACCTTGTCTTAAACAAACAAAAACAAAATAAAATCTATAAAAAACCGAAACAACCATCCAAAGAATAAAATTCAAACCTGGACCTAACACTAGTGCTGGAGCATGAGTTATAAGTACTTACCTTTGCTGCTTTCTTGTCTCCTTCAGTGCGTACCCCTAGAAGCCGTCTAAGTAGGAAATAGGAAATTTCCAATTCTGTGAATATCTCAGGCAAAGCTCCAACTGCACCAAGTACTTGACCCACCATTCTGTCAGCTCGGCACAAAGTGGGGTCGATTTTTGTTCCAACTCCTAATATGAAATAAAATGTATATAGTCCAATTTCTTATTCCCTAAAATACCTTCAAAGTGAATGACTTCCTCAAAAGTCTAATCAAACAAGCATAAACAGCCAGGCATGGTGGTGCACGCCTTTAGTCCCAACACTCAGGCGGATCTCTGTGAATTCAAGGTTAGCCTGGTCTACATAGAGTGTTCCAGGCCAGCTGGGGCTACAAACAACAACAACAACAACAAACCATAAAATCTATACACTGAACTCAATCCATAAGCCTAACAAATACTGTTTTAATTTTTTTTTTTTAAAGACAAGGGTCTCCCTGTAGTCCCAATTGTCCTGAAAATCACTAGGTAGACCAAGTTGGCCTCAAACCCAGTGCTGGGACTATAGGTATGGGTCACCATGCCCAGCTTATTAATTTTTTAAAAAAATACTTGTGTCAGTATGTGCACATGCCACAGTGCACATGTGCAGGTCTAAAGACAACGTTCAGTGGTCAATTCTCTCCTCTACCATGAGGCTGAATTCAGGCGGTCAAGTTTGCACGGCAAGTACTTGCTTTGCCATCTTCCCACCTCCAAAATATATTGACTATTTTTTCTTAAAAGATTTTTGTTTTAGGTGTATTTTTTCTGCATGTATGTGTACCATTTGTATGCCTCGTATGGGTAAGAGGGTGATGTTGGGTAAATTCATCCTCTGAGGACAAGAGGCGGTGAGTCTAGAGACCCAGAGAGAAGCAGAACACACTGGGAAAAAGGAGTTGGCACCATTTTGGGAGCAGTGAACAGCAGGCCAGTGGGCAAGTCAGCCCGTCGTGGACCCCATGGGGCACCGTGGACCACTCGAGGACCCCATGGGCCCTGCACAGACCTCAAGGGGTGAGACGGTGCATGGACAGCTGGTGAACTTCAGGCAGGGCATGGCAAGCATCTCAAAGCTTAGTCAAAATGTAGATGAACTATGGGAGCTTATGCTTTGTAAGTCACTGTTTCCAGAACATCACATAAACCATGCTAAAGTTTGCCCTGGGGCCTCAGAGGGTGTGGGTGGGGAGGTCTCTCAAGAAGGGGGAGGGGAAAATTTAGTGCAACAAATTGGCAGTGAACCAAGGGAGCTAGTGGCAGTGCTGATGTGGATCACACAATGGATCATGAACTATGTAATTAGAATGACGCAGGCGATGCAGATGCTGATGGATCAAAGGGAAAAATCCCAGGGCCACAGCTATGTTGTAAATGTGGGGAAATAGCTCAGTTGCTAAAAAAATGGAGTCTGCCTCTACTTGGATGTGAAAACTTAAAAAGATTGTAAGGAGCCTGGAAAAAAATCTTACAAAGAAAGGAACCCAGAGAGGGGGCATGGCCACTTTGCATAATAAAAGATTTGCCCAATGCAGGGGAAGCTGAAAAGGCTAGGGAGGTACAGGCAGATTCAGTTTCAACTTCAAAATTTTAACTTGTGTAAGGTTATGGGACCAGGGGTCTCAGGAAAAAAGACAAATAGTAGTGAAAAAAGAAACAACCTAAAAATAAAAGTAGCTAAAGCTGCCCCTCTGATTCAACCTTTGATACAAAACGGTTATGCTTTGTAAGTCACCCTTTCCCGAACATCATATAAACCATGCTAAAACCCAAATAAAAGATATTATGTTGGTTTGTTAGCCCTGGGCCTCAGAGGGTGTGGGCAGAGGTCTCTCAAGAAGCGGGAGGGGAAAAATTTAGTGCAACAGGTGGCAGATCTCCTGAAACTGGAGCTACAGGACTTTGTAGGCAGCCATGTGGGTGCTGGAACTGAGCCTGAGCCCACTGCCAAGAGCAAGCAAATACTCTTAACCAATGAGCCATCTTTCCAGCCCCTGTATTCTTTTTTTTTTTTGGTTTTTTTGACACAGGGTCTCCCTGTAGCCCCAGCTGTCCTGGAACTCACTATGTAGACCAGGCTGGCCTTGAACTCACAGAGAGTGCTGGGATTAAAGGCGTGCACCACCACGCCAGGCCAGCCCCTATATTCTTTATGTCTAATTTAAATATTTTTACAGCTGGGCATGGTATGCATGCCTATAATTTTAGGATGTGGGAGGCAGAGGCAAGAGGGTCAGGAGCTATACAACTAGTTTGAGGCCAGCTTGGGATACATAAGATTCTATTAAAAAAAAGTTTTCAGGGCTGAAAAGGTGGCTTGGTGGTAAGAGTACTGGCTACCCTTGCAAAGGACCTGGGTTCAATTTCCAGCACCCACATGGCAGCTAATACTCGGTAACTCCCAGTTTCAGGGGATCTGACACCCTCTTCTGATTTCCAATGGCATTGCATTACACAGATGCACTTACGGACATGCATAGAAAACCGTATTATAAACTAGAATTAACAGCTTTAATTACACAAATGTTTTCTATTCTACTCAGTAACTAAAGTAATTAAAAACCTACAATAAAACCAGGTGTGTTGTTATACATCCGTAATCCCAGCACTTGGGAAGCTGAACCAGGAGGGCTGCCACTAGTGAGTACCAGGCTAGCCATCGATATATGGCAAGACCCTATCTCAAAAAAAACCAAAACACCCTCCTCAAAAATAAAAAAGATCTATAATGTCTTTTTGATAATTCTCATGGAAAATTACCAAAAATATCCACAAATTAAAGAGGGATGAGAGGAAAATCCTTACCAATTAGACCACCTGGGGCAGCATACTGAAGATCATTATGTTCTGCAAAAAGTGACACAATTTTGGAAAAGATTGGTTTACACATGAGTTTTCCTTCACTATCCTTGGAAACAATACCAGGTCTCACTTCTATCTCCTGGCCGACCTGTAAACATAAAATTATAAGAATCACTGTAGAACAACATATTTATCATTCATCTGCCAAATGTTCTAAGAAGACCACAAAACTAAAAATGTGATCTTTCCTCTAATTTCAAGAGTACTACTTTAAAAAACAGGGCAAAATTAACATGGAAAACATCTTCAAAATCAGACCTATCCAACTGTTGCAACAAACTACCTACCTGGAAAACCTGTCATCACATAAAATCTGTTCTATGCTCACTAGATACCTATAAATTTTGAGGATCTTCTAAAAGACATAAAAAATAAATCCATATGCAATACAAGACATCATGAACAAATATATTTTCCAATTTAAATATCCATACTCTTCCCCCACCACCCTTCAAGACAAGGTGAGATGGCTCAGAGGGTAAAGGCACTTGCCATTAAGCCTGAGCCCGAGTTTGATCCCTGGGACCCAGGTGGTAGGAGGAGACACAACTGCCAAAAGTTGCCCTGACACCCACATGCATGCTGTGGCACGTGCACAGCCCCCCCCCCCCCGTACAATAAATTAATAAAAAAAATAAAGCAAGGAGTGACACCAAGTAGTCTAACACCTTAAAAGACAAGAGCAAGACAAAAATTTTTAAATGCTAATAATTCAAGCTGGGCAAGGTGGCGCACATCTTTAATTCCAGCACTGGGAAGGCAGAGGCAGGCAGATCTCTTTGAGTTCCAGGCCAGCTGGGGCTACAGGAAGACCCTGTCTCAACAAGACCTAAAAAAAAAAGAAGCTAACAACTCAAACCCAGTTTACCTTTAATACTCCTTTTAGAATACTACCACCAGCCACACCTCCCTTAAGGTCATCAACTTCACAGCCAGGTTTATTGACATCAAATGACCTAATAACTGCAAGAAAATGTTAAAACACATTAAAGTCATTGTTTTTAATTTTACCATTAGAAGACACATTCTTTTCTAAGTGAACTTTTCTAAAACAATCTAAAGTTATTGCTTTAATGCTTATTGCAGCTTTACTTGTGATGAAAAATAGAAATAACTTGAAGACTCATTAAGAGATAGTATATCAATATATCAATACTATATAATAATCTCTACATGGAATATCATGCAGTTATTTGAAATTAATGTTAAAATTATGTGCAACAATCTGGAAAAATGGCCTTCATATACTGTTAAGGAAAAACAATACTAAAAAACATAATTCACCATGATCCCACTGCCAGAAAGAAAGAGAGTAAATGTATGTAGTTTGCCCACCATGTCCGAGTTCTGCATCTGTGTAATTCAATCAAGAACCAAAAATATTTGAAAAACAATAGAGAATGATCACATATAGTCAACCTCCCAGGTCATTATTCCCCAAGCATTATAATAACCAGTCATATAAAATTTACACTCAACTTAACTATTATGATTTAAAGCATACAGGAAAGTACCTGGGATGTACCTCAGGGTACCATGCTTACCTAGCATGGGGCCTTGGGCTCTATCCCCAGCATTAGCACAAAAATCAGTCAATCAAGCATACGGGAGGCTGTATACAGGTTACTGTTGTGGTTTTGTGCAGCTTTCTTTTGAGATAAGGTCTCACTGTGTAGCCCTGGCTGTCCTTGAACTCCAAGATTCACTTGCCTCTGATGTCAATTGCTGGGATTACAAGAGTGTGCTACCACCTGGTGATTTTATACATAGGATTTCTATATTATATGGCTTCTGCAATAAAAATTTACTTTTAAAAACTACGAAACAGTAGCCAGGTGTGGTGGCACATGCCTTTAATCCCAGCACTCAGGAGGCAGAGGCAGGTGGACCTCTGTGAGTTCAAGGCCAGCCTGGTCTACACAGTGAGTTCCACGCCAGCTGGGGCTACAGGGAGACCCTGTCTCAAAAAGACCAAAAAAAAAAAAAAAACCAAAAAAAAAAAAAAAAAAAAAAAACCCAAAACGAAACAAAAAACAATGCTAAGATTACATGACCTGCACTTAGGTCACCCAAGAGAACTTTGCCCACCATTCACACAAACAGCTCCAAAGACCCAAAAAGGGATCAAAATGCTTGCCTTGAACAGGCTCCTGGTAGGCCTGGTGGCACATGTCTTTAATTCCAGTACTCGAGAAGAAGAGGTAAACACAGGTGACCCAACCCCCTTACCAATAAGTCGAGGTTCCGAAGTAAAGTCTCTTGGGGGCACGGGTATTTTTTTCACTATGTACTCACAGACAACTTCAATATTGTACTTCAGCTGAGCAGAAATTGGAATAATCGGAGCCCCTTCTGCTACTGTTCCTACATAACAAATTTCAGAAACATCAAAATTCTCAAGTGTTATAAAACTTGTTCTATGTACCTGCTACATAAATTAATGTTACCAAAATAGTCCTAAACATCCCCCACAAAAGCCAGCAACAAATAGAAAATGACAATTTCATACAGAAAGAGGACAACATTCTATTTTTATTTCCTGAAAATGAATTATTTTCCCTTTAAGGGAAAAATTGGTAAAATTATATTACTGGATATAGTTAACAAAGGCAAAATGATAAAAGTTTAAAGAAATAGGGCTGGAGAGTTGGCTCAGCGGTTAATACCACTGAATGCTCTTGCAGAGGACCCGGGTTTAATTCCCAGCACCCACATGGTAGCTACAAACCGCCTGAACTCCAGTTCCAGGGGAATCTGAAGCCCTCTTCTGACCTCCACGGCAATGCACGACATGGGTGCATTCACATACACACTGGCAATACACTCATACACATAAAAGAAAATTTTTTTTTAAAAAATTAGAAAAAAAAAGAATAAAATACACTCCTGGGAAAGAGCACTTTACTAGATGGAAAAATTTCTAACAACATGTTATTAACCTCCTAATAAATGTCAAGGTAAAATTACAGACTCTTTGCTAATCAAAGACCAGCCGGTATATGTAATATTTACCCTTTATTAATTATATGTCACACAGACTAAGAAATAGACGAAACATAAATAGATTTTAATCAAAATGACTTATTCTTTTCCATGATAGAACTGGGTTCATTGGAAAGTAACCTTCTAACAAGAAAAAGCTAAGAGAAAATCAAATGTCAATAAGATACATCACATCTTCTCTGAAAATGAAAAATTCCATACGACTAGAGAAAAGGAACACTAGAAAAACTGCTTCTAATATTTTGATTCATTTATCACTGAGGCCCTTTTTCTTCTGGGAAGCAGTGACATGGAGTGAACTTAGCATCCAGTGCATGCTAAGCAGGCACTCTATCACTGAGCTACAGTTCCAGCCCTCAGGATTTAAAATTTTAATTTGATGGATGAAATTTCCAAAATATAACACTGGTTCTAACTTTGTACAACAAATTCAGAACTATATGTTTATAGTTATGCCAGAATTCTGTACTGAGTCACTACCAAGCAGCAGGTAGAAAAGCAGTGTTTATGATTTTTAAATTTACTTTGTTTTAGACCGTGTACTATAAACAACCAGGCTGAGGACAATGGCATATATCTATAATCCCAGTACTCAGTAGGCTAAGGCGAGTTCTAGGCCATCTGGGGCTACAGTGTGAGACCATGTCACAAACAGCCCTCCGCACCAAGAAAAAAATTAGCGATTATAAATAAAAATCTGGTAGGAGGATTAAATACCTCTCAAAGTAATTCACAGATTTATTAGATACTATGGCTTCTTACCTTGTACAAATGCAAGAATCTGTTCGTATTGCTCCTTAGCCTGACTTTCTTTTACCAGATCAATTTTATTCTGTAGGATCAAAATATGCTTGAGTTTCATTATTTCTATTGCAGCCAGGTGTTCGGAAGTCTGAGGCTGAGGGCATGATTCATTACCCGCTAGTTGGTAGAAAAAAAAAAAAAGATGCAGAAGAATAACTAGAAGTATCCAGACCATTCAAATTCAGGAGAGTGGATTGTTGATTGCTAGGGGCTAGAGGGAGGGTAATGGGCAGTGACAACTTAATAAACAGGGGTTCCCTTTTGTGGTAATGAAAATGTTCTAGAACTAGCTAATTCAGATGTTATACTACCTACATTGTCCAACATTCTGAATGTATTCAAGCTGAATTGTACTCCTTAAATGATAAAAGTGTAAATTTTACATTGTGCATATATTCTACCACCAAACCTGCTTCACTCCACATCTGCATTCACTGAGGCCTCCCCACTCCTGGTCCAAAGTGAGACGCTTCCAATCAACACGTCTGGCTTCCAGAGCTTTTGTTCAGGCCTGCTAGCTGTATTTCATCTTAGATATGTTCTGGCCTAGTCAAGCTCCCAAGAGGCAGCCAGGAAAACAAACTTACCATTCTGCATGAATTTTAATCAATCAGATGCTATTCCCTAACCAAAAAAAGGAACAGAACTGCAAATATAACCAACAGTACACTAGTAGGAATGTTCTGCTCAGCACACTGACACCATCCTCCCCAGTGTGGTGTTCAGGTGTCCTGTGCTATATCCTCCCAAATACCAAAAAAAAAAAAAAAAAAAAAAAAACCTACCCACAGCAATCAAATCTCCTGACAGCTCACAGAAGGAAACACAACCTTGGTTTTCAAAACTTTCAGCAATTATTGTGAATGAGGCTGATACCTACCTCAATCAATTATGTATCTGCAGGCAGATAGCTTGGGGCAGGGGAGGGAGGGAGAGAAGAAGGGAGGGAGGGGGAGAGAGATAGAGGGGCGAGGGGCACCCACAATAAATGCACAAGCTTTACACATGAATTTTAAAGGAAAATAAGATATCTCGTGATTTAGACAGGGAAACTGCACCACTCCCCCACCTCCCCTTTAGAGACTTTCATAAGAATTCTTAGAAGCTATCAACCCCAGGTCTCTCTTTCTTACTCTTTTGTGGTAGCTGGCAGGGAAAAATGTTATCCTGGATGACACATTCCTATCCATGCCACCCTTGGGAATGGAGATGACCCCTAAAGGCTTTAGTTCCTCCTTAAAAAATGTTTCACTCAGGTTGAGTTATCCACTGATTTATGCAAACCAATTCTGATGCTTTTATTTTACCTATCAATAGCAGAGCTGCATCCATCACTGCTGCACCATTCAGCATTGTAGCCATCAAAATATCATGGCCAGGACAGTCAACAAAGGACACATGCCTAACAATTGAGAAATAACAATAAGATCAATACCACATGCAAATTCTAGACTTCTTAAAGTTAAATCACCTAGAAATAATTCTTATTGCTACAAAATGGTTATACGACTTGGTATTTCTAGACTTTGGAAGTAAGATTACTAGTTGAGAATAAAATCACCACAGATCATTAAAACGGCAAGTGAAATTAGCTATGTGCAAAAACAAATGAAGCAATAGAAACTCCTAAATCCAATCAGTGAATAAAGCAGAGAATAAGGGTATAGAGTGTGCAACCAGGAACGTTATCAATTTGAAAGCTAAAGCCTAATGACCTATAAAAAGTATGCTAATAAAATGGGGCTTTTTCAGGCAGGAGAGACGGCTCAGCAGTTAAGAGCCTGTACTGATTGTGCAGAGGATCCAGTACCCTCATCAGGCAGCTCACAAAGGGGCTTTAACTATTCATACCCACACACAGATGTATTAAAAAAAATAAAACTGCCAGTGCCAGGCATTAAAAAAAAATTGCCAGGCGTGGCGGTGCACCCGTAGTCCCAGCACCTGGAGGCAGAGACAGGTGGATCTCTTTGAGTTCAAGGCCAGCCTGGTCTACATAGTGAGTTCCAGGCCAGCTGGGGCTACTGGGAGACCCTGTCTTGAAAAAGACCAAAAATTTTTTTAAAAACAAAAAGTTTTTTCTTGTTGTTTTGTTTTTTGGTCTTTTTGAGATAGTCTCCCTATAGCCACCCAGCTGTCCTAGAATTCACTATGTAGACCAGGCTGGCCTTGAACTCACAGAGATCCGCCTG